GGCCTGGCCGCGCCCGTCACTCGCTCACCGGAAGTCGCGCCCGCCGGGCAAAGAGGACTGAGCCGCTTAGCGCCCCGCCCCGCGTGATGTCAGAGGAAGCGGGGCAGCTACGCTTCCGGCGGCGTTCTTCCCGACTGGCGGCCGTACGGCGGTAGTTTCTAAGGTGAATGATGCTCTGGCGTTTCACTGAGATGGCCGGGACGCGTGACCAGTGTGGTCCGGTCCGCTTCTCCACCGCACTTTGTCGCTTTTACCATGCCCGCTTCTTTCAGGCCCGTGTAATCTATTCAAGGTGCCCAAAGGGTTAAATTGCTATGTTCCTGGGTTTTTGGCCTCCACTTGGGTCGTTTTGCCGTTTCCTACGTGATAGGTCGCTTACGTGATCCCTAGCTCCGTATTGGTAGGCTTGCTTTGCGCAGGCGCTCGTCAACTCTGCGCTAGGCTTCCCTAGTTGAGGCTTCTGTCAGTAATTTCAGGCTGGAAGATACGACTCGCTCTTTCGCCAGGGACATCGTGAACCCAAGACTCAACTGTTTGGGGGCTCGCAGCCATTGTGAATTCGCTTAAACCCCGTTACTGACTGATGCTAACAGAAATAGTTTCTTACCCCTTACTGTCCCCATTTGAAACGCTTCCAGATTGGTTCAGGCCCTCATCGTACTGACTGTCCCAAACTAATGTAGCCTCCTGTAGTGATACCCTAACCAGTATTCACACACCCTAACCCCCCGCAAATACAATTTGCTGGGCAAAGATGTACACCTGTACCCACGTTAAGTGTCAGTTTCTGGCTGCTTGGGTTTTGATCCTACGTAAGATACTTACCTTACAAGTCCACTTCCAAACCTGCAAAGCTGAAGATACCTACATATTACCAACCTATTATGAAAGTGGCTTAAGGTGTGGAAGGTACATGGAACTTCTCTATAAAATAGTACCTGCAATCGTTAGCTTTACATTGTCAAACTTATGAAGCAGGACAAACAAGAAATGTATAATTCTTCTAGCAAATAAATTACAGAGCAAGTTTGTGTTTTGGGAGATAGTCAAGGTTTCCATTTTAGGCCCTTTCCAGAAATCTAACCCCTGAACACTTGCCAGAAGCACACCACAACAGGGCAGCCTACCACGGGGAGAGGCCAACAAACTAAAAAACATCAACCTTTTTAAAATTATAAGCATGGCATCGCTGGATAATTCTTGGTGCTTACTGAATGGCACAACTGGCCTGCTCCTCAAGCTTTTTCAGGTTTGGAGTATTTTTTCATTAGAAGACCCTAAAATGTACAACTGGCACATATATTTCAAATGTTCTACTTTAATTTCTAAGTTTCAGCCCTGCCTGCTGAAGTCACAGGGGTAATGCCTCTCATTTCTTCCTGAATTAAATTTCAGATAGCACTTTGTGATCACATATAAAACAGGAAAATTTCACTAATATTCTCCAACAATGCCAAGGATTAAGGAAATAAAAGTTCAGAATGAACCAGACACTAGCCAAAGGTATGTTTATGTTTGCCAGGTCTGACTCATTAAGGGACAATGAATTTCTGAACTAGAACCCCAGACTTCAAGTGGCAACTACCTCACTCTTGTAGAGCCAGAGGCCCAATGCCTGACCTCTCTAAAATTTCATTGTCTACACTTTGAGAAAATAGGTAATACTGTCAGTGCCCAACCCAGGTCTTAGAACTTACTCTACACTTTTTAATCATGTTAACAAACGAGGAAGATGGTATTTCATGTAAGCCATGTTGGCTTTCACTGAATAGGCAGGATGGCGCGGAGCCTCCTAGAGAAAAGCTCTTTAGGCAGGCAATCTGAAGAGCTTCAACTCCCTGGACCCAAAGACTGCTTACAAGGATATTTAAGTCTGATTGTAGGACACAGGAAAATAGCCAGTACATAGTGAAAGACAGCCAATCTGCACCTCCTCTACAAGACGAATCTGACAAACCCCAATGCTCAGCACCTCATCTACTCATTATAAGACTTGTCACTGGGGAGTTTCAAAGCCAAGCTAAAGGCAGATTCACTACTTAACAGTTCACCCCAAGGGTCACTCCAACAGCACATTTTGTGTTTGTTTTTTTTTGCAGCACTGGGGATTGAACTCAGGACCATGCACTTGTGAGGCAGGTGAAGTGCCACTAAGTCCTCGGCCCAGCAGCGCATTCTTTACAAACTATCCCACGCAAAGCTCAGGCAGATGCCAGCTAGTCAATTCTTGTAGTGAATAAATTTGATAAAACTTTTTATATTTGCTGTTATAAAAATTAAATAAATAATTGAACTGAGAAGTGGTTAAAGGCCTTAAGTTCTTTTTGTTTTTTGAGACAGGATCTCACTACGTGGTTCAAACTGACCTGGAACTCACTCTGTAGCCCAGGCTGGTCTTGAACTCACAGCGATCCTCCTGCCTCAGCCTCCTGAGTGCTGGGATTACAGGCATGTGCCCCCACACCCAGCAAAGACCTTAAATTCTTCAGGACAAGTGGTGTGAGAAAAAAGAACCATTTACATTTAACTTACAGAAATATTAAGTGAATCATAACTTTTGACACACTCCCCTCATTCTGCCCAAAGCTTTGAAATTGATTTGTATCTTCTAGATAAATAGGAAGTGGAGGTTAGTACAGGGGGCTCCATCACCAATGAAAAGCTATAAGGGAAGGAGCAGAGTTCAGGCATTCTGTTTATAAAATCAACTTCTAAGGAGAGAACACACACAAAAAACAGGCAAATACTGAGTTCATAGTCACTAAATTTAATTCAACTGTTATACCCAATTCTGCCTTGTAAAAATAAAAAAGGTTCTTATCAAAATTACACTGATGTGAGGGTGGGTTTCTTGCTTTGATACAGCTCTAGAAAAATGTTGGCACCAAATGCACTTAAAAGTTTTAAGGCTTAATAAAAATACAGAGATTAGTAATTTCTCAATGCAGCTGGGAGGCTGAGAACAGGATGTATCTTTGATGCAGAGAGCATTTTCTTAATCCAAGTGACAACACACCTCCAGGCTTACCTGTGCAGGGTCACTTGTTCTCGCACTGAGTGCACTGCCCGGGCCATAAGCTTAGAGGGGCTTAAGTCAAGCACACAGTAGCAAGGCAGGGTGCTCTGCTACCCAGGGGCCACTGCTGTAAGTTGCATTTCCCATGTCCACCCAGAAATCCCTGGCAATGGGTGGAAGTAGGAGACTCCCTTGCACTGGACGGATAATGGGCCAGTATACTTATGTCACAGTCTTGGCAACCCAATTTGGAATTCACAGATCATTTTCTTGTTAAGAAAACAGTCACAAATGGTATTCATTTTTACTATTAGAATACTTCCTTAGAAGTTACACAAGTTAGTGTGTTTGCACTTAAAAAGCTAAGCATTATTTAGGACTCAAAAAAAAAAAAAAGAAAAAGAAAAGCATATAATACCTTAATTTCAAATGACATTCTCATAAATGACTGATCCACAACAACCCCTTTGAGTTCTTACGGTATCACATGGAATTTGTGTCTCTTGGCTCTAAAAGTCTGCAGGGCAACTGAAGGGGGAAACTCTTTGGTTGACTCCTCAATGTGCCAGGAACAATATGCAGAGCTTAGTACTTGGCACTACTGCAGGCACTTGGTACAACTGCAGGCACTTAAAAGCAGGTAGGCCAATGGAAGTGTAACTGCACTGAGCTGTTGCTTTCCTAAGTTTAATCATGATGAAGTTTCTAGCACCTGGTGTGAGCTTTGTAGGCATTCAGAGAAGTGGCTACACCATCTGATCCTCTCCTATCATCTTAAAGCAAGTAGGAATTGAGGCTGCAGCCCTTCCAGCGTTATCTCTGCCCGACAAATGAAGCAACATGACTTTTGCTAGCTCTGTATCTTCACAAGCGAATGACAGTTGTGACTCTGCTGCCAAAGTAAACATCCTGGTCTAAGGAGCAATGTTCATGAATATGGCGTGGAGTTTCTGCAAAGCGTTTGTTTGTACCTGGGATTGAATTTGGGTCCTGTGCTTGCAAGGTAGGTGGTGGAACCACTAAGCTAAATTCCCGGCCCTCTGCAAAGCTTTTAAAAAGTGGCTCAAGTAGCTCTTCTTCCTCTTTGGTGTACCTAAGCAAGGGACTTTTCTGGAAGTTGTCAGAAATGGAGTCCATAGGCATTTATGTGACACTGATTCTTACAAAACAGCTTTTTAAAATATATATAAAAGAAATCAACCTAAGAATCCAAGGTCCTCAAGCATATCTTTTCCCCCCCAAAAAAACAGGAACAAAGTGAGACACAGTAAAAGTCTGAATAAGCCCAGTGCTCAGATGTAATGAAGTAGATTTTAAACCCTGCAGAGGCCAGTAGGCCTCACATGTAGGAAGAACCGTGGCTTGTCAAGGGAACGTTACACCATCATTGAGGAACAAAGGCCTAGACTTAAGGCTGGTGGTGGGGGAGAAAGAAATGGAATAACACAAACAAACTTGGCATGTCAAGGACCACAGTTAAGTCACTGTAGAGAAAGGCAGACAGCTGCATGAAAGCTAGCCAGGGAATCAGATGAAAGAACTAGGCAACTCTGAGGATCAGGGCACAAAAATCTTCTGTACAGCACCAGACTGAAGACATCTGCTCAGTTTTGTTGACTGCTACAGAGGAAGAGCAACCAAGACTGAAGGACAATAGAATGGGTATAAAATGAGACATTGGGGTTCAACAGTCATCTCAGAAGTGAGCCACATTGGTGACAAGTAACTAAAGGGATCTAAAGGTGGTGTACAGAGACTTCCACCACCTTAGTGTTTCTGCTCATGCTTACTCCTGTGTCCCACAGAAACAGACAGGCTGTCAAGTTTTCTTTCAAAAGCTTTTAAGATGCTCAGTCAGCAAAACACTGGTGCAAGGACAGGGAAAATCTACCAAGCCTCCTGCTACTCTGCACCGTCTCCCCGCCCTCATTCATCTTAAGAGTCCTGCTCCATCAGCAACAACAAATGGGTAGACCCCAAGGAAGTCCCATTGTTTCCCAACAGATGTGTCCCTCAACAGTCAGGAAGACGTGGACTCCAGTGCAGCTCTCAGGAGCGCAGGAGAGCTCTGAGCAACCAGCCTCATACACACACAAACCCTCCCACCCCATTCTTTTGGGCTAAAGATGATAACATCTGATACCCTATTTTGAGTTTCTGGTCTGGCTATAAGGAGCCTCTCAGTAGAAGGAGAGGCTGGATTTGCCTCCAGGTGGGTTCAGGACCTTGTTATGAGAGCGAGGCCGTGGCCCCAGCCTGGGCTCATGGTTGTCAACTGTGGGCCTGGGTTCCAGCTCCTTGGTGTGGTCCACTTCTCTTGAGCTGCCCTTTGTTCCCAGCTCTTCTTGTGACGAGGTGCTTGTTGCAGCTGGAGGACAAAGTCAGCACAATATTCATTAGATGCAGCCACTGCCCTGCCAGATAAGATGTGCTAACAGAAATCAGTGTCACAGAGAAGCTAGCAAGAAATTCAGACGGTGACAAGGGGAGAAAAACAAGGTCAGGCTCTCTATCCTGCACCAAGGCAGTTTAGTATGTAAATGCAGTTCTGGACTGAGCAGTTAGGGCTGACTACTACAAACATTGTTTGGAGAAAGACATCGTGGCGCAAACCTGTAATCCTAGTACTCTGAGAGGTTGAGGCAAGGGGATTCTAAGTTCAGACCCAGCCAGGGCGACTTACTCAGCAAGGCCCCATTTCAAAATTAAAGAAAAAAAAAGTGGGGTGGGGGATGTAGCCCAGTGTGACAGCTCTGGGTTCAATCCCCAGTAGCAAAAGGGGGAAGTGTTCTTTGATTTCTTCTATATAACTTAGTTATTTATATCATTTATTATACTCCATTCCCATTTCTATTTGAATTATAAAAAGCAAATTTTTTGAGAGTGTAAAAAGGAGACTATGCCTTATCTGGGGATTTAGTAAAGCTAAGTGTCTAGTCACTATCCAGATTTTTTTAACAAATGAGAATAAACCAATTTCCAGGTGTATCTGTCAACAGCTAAAAGAAATGGTGACCCAAATGCAGAGATCAATACCTACATTAGAAAGATCTTAATCTTAGATTATACAACCATGGGTCAACACTAAAATCTGAGTTCCAGACTGAGGCCCAAGCTACTTGCTCCCGAGTGAGACAAAGGCTGGGGCTCTCCCCATGCAAAGGGCTCTTGCCTCATCTCTTTATACTCTTCTCTCTGAGCTTCATTCCATCTGCTCTACCCTTGGGCAAGACTTTATTATGGGTTTTACATCCCTACCCTTTAGGGCAGAGATGGGCTTCTATTAAGACAATCCCTCAGATCTAGACTGCCTATAATGAGTAGGAAAGAAAAAACCCAAGGTTTTATAACTACCCATTTCACCCCTACAGGCTTTTCCAAACACTAAATCCTCTCAGCAGTACATATATCCAGACTGGTCAGTCAGCTTGGGAAGGGCCAAGAAATCTTTGAGGCACACCAACAACTCTTCTTTTGAAGTAAAGCCCTGTAGAAGGGGAGGAAACACCTCACCTTTAAGGTCTGATTTTGGGTCTTCTCCTTCACACAAAAGAGTGTGGTCCTGCAACAAGACAAACCATCATGTCAGTGCCCAATTCAGAATCTTTCTACCTTCATCCCGGTGGGTAACAAAAACCTGGGCATGAACAACTTAAGCTTATTTTCAATGTTATTTATTTTTAAAAATTTTCGGAGACAAGATCTTGTTATTCAGGCTAGCCTTGAACTCATTGTATAGCTCAGGCTGGCCTCCAACTCAGGGCAATTTTCCTGCCTCAGCCTACTGAATGCTGGGATTACAGACATGCACCATCATGCCCGGTGCTAATGTTATTTAAAAATAAAAATTTTTGTAGTACTGGAGACTGAATCCAGGGCTTGGCCCATGCTAGGCAAGTGCTCTATCACTGAGCTATACCTCCAGTCTATTTTGAGAAAGGGTCTCCCTAAATTGCCCAGGATGGCCTGGAATTTAAAATCTTCCGGCCTCAAATTCTCAGAGTGTTGAGATTATAGGCATGTACCACCCTGCCCAGACAGTAATTTCTTAAATCGGTCATATTTTAAAACACTAACATATTTGCAAGGTTCAGCCATATTATATCATGTATCAAAACGTCACACCTATTTATGACAATGTAACATTCAAATGTATGGCTATGTATTTATTAGTCTGTTTATAGATACTTGAGTTGGTCCCACCTTTGGCTAATGTAAATAATGTTGCTTTGAAAACAGGTGTGCAAGTATGTTTCATTTCATGTTTTCAAATCTTTTGGGTACATAAGTGAAACAGCTGAATAATGTTCTATGTTTGACATTTTGAGGAACTGCCAAACTCTTTTTCAAAGACGCTGTACTATTTTTCACTCCTACCAGCACTCTAATAAGGGTCCTAATTTATCTACAACATCCCCAACACTTGTTATTTTCCATGAATCCTAGTAGGCACAACAACATAGTACCTCAATATGGTTTTTGATGTGCACGTCCCTGATGACTGCAGAGGTTGTGCATCTTTTCAAGCGCTTATTGTTATATGTACACTTTTTCTTTTTGTATGTAAAACTTCTTTGGAGAAATGTCTATTTAAATCCATCACCCATTTTTGAATTGGATTATGTTTTTTAACCTTAAGTATATAATTTGCAAATACTTCCACCCATCGGCTTTGCCCTGATACTGTCCTTGTGATGTTTTTTATTTTAATTAAGTCAGATTTATAATTTTGTTGCTTGTGTTTTTGGTGTCCTATTTCCAAGATCATACATAGATTTGTCCCTGTATTTTCTCCTAAGGAAAAAAAAAAATTTTTTTTTTTTTTTTGGAGGATGTCATGTACTTCAGGTTGGCCTCAAACCTGTGGCAATCCTCCTGCCTCAGCCTCCAAAGTGCTGGGATTATGGGTGTGCACTACCACACCCAGCTCAAGAAATGCCCTAAAGGTCAGCAGTTCTCCACTAAGGAAGTGGCCCAAATAGCCAAACTCACACCTATACCTCCAGCCCCTTGATTTAACCTCTAAAATCTCCCTCTATTATTTGTCATGCAGTTTCCAACATACTGCATTATCCTGAGTGCACGAGTATAGTGTCAATACTTGATTTTATTATGATTCCACCTTGATGACTGTTATTTTTTTGGTACTGGAGATTAAATCTTAGGACATTACACATGCTAAGCAATCATTTTACCACTCAGCTACAACTCCAGCCCTTTTATATTTTCAGACAGAATCTCCCTAAATTGCACAGGTTGGCCTTAAACTTTCAATCGTCATGCCTCAGCTTTCCTAGTAACTGGAAAGTAAAAGTATACTTGGGTAGCACAAGTGTGTACTGCCATGCTCATTTTTGGGCTGACCTTAAAGGTAGTCACAGCGAACTTCTCTTATGGAGCCAGAACTGTTGGCTGTCTCATTCCGTGCTGTTTTCAGCTATTGATAATCATAATTTTATCACAAGTTTGCCACACAACAACACTGTTATTCCTGCTTTGTTTACAACCTGAAGTGCTTTTCCTCCTGACATCTCAATGTGTTATCCAGGTTGGCCTCAAATCTGAGATTGTCCTGCTTCAGTTTCTTAGGTAACTGTAATTACAGGAGCATATAGCGTGCCTTGCTCCTGGAGTACAGCTGTTATCTTGACAAGTATCTCATGCAGGAAAGCTGGTTAAATAGTTCATTTTATCCTCTTCTAGATTTCATAACAATGAGTTGACTATGACATTTTTCAGTAATCTCAAATTAAATTAAAAAAATTTTTATTTTTAAGTGAACTTTTTACTTTTTAATAAATTTTATTTTATCCCATCCTGCCCTGAAGCCCCCTCCCCACCCTATGTACAAAAGCTTTGTTTCCATTTTTTCCTTCTAATTTCACTTTTTTCTTATCCTTTCCTTTCTCCCTCGTTCTCCTTCCCATCTGAACACTTTCTTCCCATTTCCCAACATCCATTATACATCTCAGTCCTTATTTCTATTCAAATTCTCACACCAGAGAAACAAGGCAGTATTCAAACATGAGTATTTGAACCCACAAGTTCTAGATAGGTGATGATTCCTGCAGTCCACGGATCCTTTTCACATTGGCTCCTGAGACCTCCAATAACACCCCAGCGTCTGTGATGGCTTCCTAGCTTCTGGCATTGTATACAACACTCTAGGCTTATCTTGTATGTTTCTTGGCCTCAGCTTGGAAATGATAATTTTTCCAATGAGGCCGGGGTTCTGTGATGTTCCCTGGTTAAAAAGCCATTACATTTAATATACTCAGGAAACTCTGTTCTGATTCCTCTTGTTCTGCGACCAGCTGTACCAACTGTCCATAGTCCTTCACCCAATCTATTCACTACATTGTGAAACCTAAACTCCTTCCTGTGTTCTATTTGGGCTCTTTTTTTTTTTTTTTTTTTTTTTTTTTTTTTTTTTTTTTTGAGACAGGGTCTCACTATGTAGTTGAGGCTGACCTGGAACTCATTACTTAGCCCAGGGTGGTCTGGCGATCCTCCTGCCTCAGCCTCCTGAGTGCTGGGATTACAGGCATGCACCACCACGCCCGGCTCGGGCTCCTTCTTTAGTGGAGAACTCCTGACCTTTCAGGAGCCCCACAAGTGGTCTCTCTGAAATCAGCACCTTAGTCTAGTACCCACTTAAAAGTCCACAAGACTCCAACCTGGAAACAAACGTCACTACACATAGTTGAAGGCAGGAGATATAGGCTGGCCCTGGCTAGGCTTTCTCACACATCTCATTTTAACTCTGCATTGTGTTACTTTCTGGGTTGTAAAGCAGTAACAGTGCAGCAATGGTCCATGCACAAGTAACTCCAGAAATGATTATTTGTTCTGTCTTAAGAGAATCAGACCCTAACTTTTCACCACAAACAAGGTGGAAAAGCATATACCATGAGACTACTAATTATTTTAGCAATAATAAAGTCCTAACTTTCATAACTGTGAGTTCTGGCTAAAGGAAGCCCTAGAAAAGTTCTGCCACCATTCAAATCAATAAACCTTCAGTCTAGGGCTGTGCACATTGAGGGACTCAGGAAAATCAGGACTGGCTTTGGTCAACGCTGACTCAGACCAGGAAGTGCACAGATCTCATCAGTACTTCCTAAGGCCACATCCGAAGTGACACTGTCTGGCCTTCTATGTTCCAGCATCCGCTAAACTGGCACCGGAGGTGAGGAGGCCACACTCATCTCACTCCACGGGTGCTTTTATCAGAAATCAGTATTAGTCTAGTACCCACTTAAAAGTCCACAAGACTCCAACCTGGAAACAAACGTCACTACACATAGTTGAAGGCAGGAGATATAGGCTGGCCCTGGCTAGGCTTTCTCACACATCTCATTTTAACTCTGCACATTGATTGACCTTGTGTGGGGAAACAATGAACAAAAGCCATCATTTTAGCCAGGTGTGGTGGCCACAGGCAGCCAAGACAGGAGAACTGTGAGTTCAAGGTCTGCCTGGAATATAGTAAGATCCTGCTCTTAAAAAAAAAAAGCAAGTAAGAGCCATCCTATTTCTTTTCCAAAATTAAGGATAGTGAAAAATGTATGAGGGACAAACTCCTACGCTGTACGCTTAGTCACCATCCCTTAGGCAGCATGGTGAACAGCAGCATGACTGCCCGCAGTGGTGTCTGTTGCTGTGGACACAGATGGATACCCTAAGGCTCCAGTAATCACAAGGTCTAATCATGTTCCTGGGTGATTCAGGGGAGATTCCAAACCCAATGACATATGACTGGGAAAATCAATGTCATCCACCTTTTCTCTTCCTAATAAGGAGTTATACACGCCTTGGAGCCCTTCTAAAAGAGGATTTGGCTCACTTTTTTTCCCCTTTCATGGTTGCTATCTGAATAGGGTCTGGGTCAGAAACATTTCTACATAATACTGAGGAAAAATCATTTCACAATTTAAATTATGATTAGGTCTAGTTTTCCTGAATAGGCCAGCTGTGGCATGTAGAGACAACTCCATTCGCCTCCAGTCACAGCTAAAGCTTCAATGGTCCAGGTCAAGATTACACCAGCTGAAGACATCCTGGGGAGGAACAAAACCTTCATCTGCATAGATCCTCACAGTTCTAGGATTTTCACTGACACTGCCCTCTAAGTCACCTATTACCCTGATGCCCTCTGAGCCACCTGTTACATTTGTTACTCCTGATGTACTTTCGTCTTTGCTGCCCAGAAAAGCATTGATCAGACCCAAAGCTCAGCTTCTTCCCGAAGTCTCATTTTTCTATCTTTCCTGTGTAATTAATTAATTCACCTTGTGTTGTCATGGCTCACATTAGAGTAGGATTTTTTGCAGAGGTTCTAATAACATCCCTTTCCCTGTTCCCTACAGGCCTGTACCTTGGGTTTGTTTGGGTGTGCCAGGGGTAAAGTTGCAGTGACTGGGGAACCAAAAATGTCACTAGTCTTCCCACCAGGTGGGTTCAGACGTTGTCGGGTCTGCAGAGGAGTTGACTCATCAAAGATTCCACTTCCTTTTCCTCCTGCAGAAACAATCAAAGAACAATGAGCACCAGAACACCCATCTCACCCTCCTGCCATATTCATTACTACAAAGACTTCCTTTATGATTATCCTTGTGCCAGCCAGTCCTGCCTGAGTTCCAAACAAACAGGGTAGGATGATCAGTCTCTAAAACTTCCCCACAAAGACTTATGTCTCAGCCAACCCCTTTACCTGGGGCCTGCTGCAGCCTTCAGGTCTAGACTTTAGCTGGTCTCTAGAAAGAAGAGGGAATAAAACAGTACAATTTCCCTGGAGAGTTTCTTTAACTCTGCACAGTTAAGTCTTCTTTGTTACTTTTTTTTTTCCTGGTACTGGACCTTGTGCTTGCAAGGCAGGTGGCAGCACCACTGAGCTAAATCCTGGCCCAAGTCTTCTTTGTTAAACAAAAGGTTTTCCAGTAGATTATAAGTAAAGAGCTAAATGTTTAGTTCACAAAGTTCTAAAGTTAGTAATATACCCTATTCAAAGCAAAACTGGGGCCAGGGATGTAGCTTAATGGTTTCACCACCTGCCTCCCAAGCTCAAGGACCCAAGTTTGATCCCTGGTACAAAAAAAAAAAAAAAAAAAAAAAAAAAAAAAAAAAAAAAAAAAAAAAAAA